AACGCATCTGAGTGGGGTCTAATTTCAAAATTGTTATGGGGGAGGGCCCCAGACCCCCCTTCGCGTGCTCGCAAGTATGGATTACGGTTTGACCCCCCTGGTCCAAATCCGGTACACGCCCCTGATCTATCTATCTGTCTCTCTTTCTCGCCCTCTTTTTCTGTCTGTGCGAGCGCGCGCGTTCATGTGTGTCTTTCATCTCTTTCGGTCTCTCTCTCTCCTCCCTTTCCTCTTTCTCGCTCTTCCCCTGTCTCCCTTTTTCTTTCTTTCTCTCTCTCATTCTCTCTCCCCCCTTTTCTCTTTCTCTCTCGCTCTCTCCCTTTCCCTTCCTTCCCCCCTCCCTCTATCGCGCTCTCTCTCGTTTTTTCTGCTCTTGTATCCAACAAGCGCCTCGTAGCTGGATTTCTGTTCCATTCGCTGCCATGTTACCTGAGGCTGAGTGTTCTGGCGTTATTTTTAGTATACAACGGGTCGGGATTCTGCAGTAAAAACCCGCGGGGCTTGTAAAAATACTCAAACATTTGCAGTCACTCTTGAGGCTCACATGAGATGTCGGTGGAAACTCTCTTCGTCTGCCACGAGTGTCATTGATTTACATCTAGAGCGTGACTCTTGAACGGTGAGTGCATCGATCGGTTTCATCCTCACATATTCGCTGTCGCCAACCAGCATTGTGTAGCTCTCCAGTGTCTGTTGTTGTTCGGTGGATGCTATTGACTTCCGCATGTGTTCGTTGCTACACCCTCTTGGTAACCGTCGTGTGTATCAGGTGTGTGTGTACAAAAGATGTAATGAAACCAGTCATTCTTGGCTCTTGCACCTTTAATACGTGTATAGGCCTGTACAATCGAAGGAAACACTGTCAGGGGGTAAACAAAACTGCACTATGCTACGCAAGTTTATTACTCATGACTTAATATAGGTTATGTCCTGGATCGCACAACTCAGAAAACAATTATACCCGCTAACCTACGATCTAATTCGATTAGGCAGCACTGTTAAACTCACATCTTCCTGAGTCAATTAAACTATGAGGAAACACGCCTAGCGAATATAGGTGGCGCAACATGCCAGGTTGTCACAGTGCCGTATATATAATATAGATATCTCTATATACGGCTCTGAGTTGTCAGTGCCAGCGGAAGTATACCCACATTTAATTCATCATTAATATTTTGCATTTGCTCAATACGCAGTTATTCTCATTTAATTTGCAGTATTCTCATTAATTTGCAGTCACGAGTGACTCAATTTACCACTGAGCAATGACAAAACTATAAAAAGTAGTGGACAAAATCAATCGTATAGTACATCTCGGCCACAAATATAGCTGCGTAGTAAGTAGTGTGCAGCGCCACTA